GGTGCCGGCGGTTAGTAGTACACACCTTGCTTTAGACTTTAGTGCCGAAAGCCTCCGATCCATTTCGGCCTCGATTGCGGATAAAGCACCGGGGCCGGATGGGTGGCAAGCTGGCTGCCTGTGCAAAATGCCCCTGAGCTGGTGGGCTATGGCAGCTGAGATGTGGAGTCACATCTGGGCTACGGCTTCTGTCCCTAAGCTTTGGAAGTATGCTAAGGTGACACTCATTCGGAAAAAGGGTGGGCCCACCACCAGGCCCATAACTCTGACGCAAATCATGTGGCGCATTGGGGCCAAATTTGTCGCCCGTGCATTGCGTCAATGGGCGCCCAAATGGGCTTCGGAGAGTGATCACGGTGGCCTCCCGGGACGTTCCATCAGTGACGTCCTCTTTCAGGTCCAAGCTGCTCTTAATCGTGGCATGACTACTGCTGCTTTGATGGACGTGGCAGGTTACTTCGATGCCATGAATGCCAAGATGTTGAAGAAGGTTTTTGCTCATTTGGGTGCACCGGTGCAGTTGGCTCCCCTCCTGGAGTCATTCTACTCTGGAGCCTTTAGGTACTTCTGCTTTGAAGGTTCGTTTGACCCAGAGTATCATGTGGTGCACTCCGGTATTGCACAGGGCTGCCCACTCAGTCCCATCGCTGCTGCAGCCTTGTCGCATTGTTGGAGTGAGTACATTAAGGCCTCTTGCAACAACATATGTGTGCAGATTTTTATGGATGACCGTACTTTGATGCTGGAACCTTCGGGATCTTACCAGGACCTTGAACGAGCGATAAGTGCAAGTGCAACTTTTGATGCTGCCTTTTCGCTGAGCCTCTCGCCTGCTAAATGCTTCATTGCCTCGAGCCGGCCGAGTCTGCAAACGGCCCAGCTCGCAGACCGATGGGGTTTTTCAACGTGCTCGCATCTTGAATTGTTGGGTGTGTGCTTTGACTTTGAGGGCAAAGGTACCATTCCCAAGTTTTCTTTGAGGAAGGCGGTTCTCCGCTTAAGATTGCTACGTTGGACCCAAGCTTCGACCAGGGCTCGCATCAATTTGGTGAGGGCCCTCATCATGCCGTGCTTGGCCTGGGCCTCGGGCTTCGCTCAGCCTTCTCGTGCTGACCTGGAGGCTGTTCGAGCTGAAGTCAGGTTCTTGTTTAGTGGAGGTTATGGTGGCGACACTGCCACCGTAGCCTTCTTTGAGCTGCTTGGATGGGGCTTAGAACCGAATTTCGCGCTAGATCTTGGGTTATGTCGACTCGCGTGGCGGTGGATTGCAAAACCCCCTGTTTGGCAGGAGATGCTTCCCATCACCTCGAACCCACATAGGTGGCTCGCGTGTCTTCCTCAACTCCAGGAGCTGTTGGCCCGCGCGGGTTGGTGGCTGAGCGAAGGGGCTGATGCCTTTTGCAGACGTGATGCTCAAGGTGGACTTCGGAAAATCTGCATTGGGTTTGAGAGCTTTGCTTTGTTCAGGGTTTGGCTGGAGGATTTTTACCGTGATCAATTTCTTCGGCGCTGCAAGCGGGTTACACATAGTCTTCACAGGCCGCCGGAACCTGACCTGGCTCAGGGGCTGGACCTGCCAGCACCACCGCAACCCTTTCGTGTTCAGTTCCAAGGGCATAAAGCTGTATTGGCAGACCAGTCTTCGATGTTTCATCGCAGAGCGGCTTTCCTTTCAGGTGGCACTACTTGGTTCTTTAACAAGGCGGCCCCAGCTACGGCCCTGCACAACCGAACGCGATGCCTCTGTGGAGCCTCCCGACCGAGCAGGGCCCATTTGCTGTGGGCCTGCCCAAGCACAGAGGACATTCGCAAAGATCTTGACCCGCCAACGCACCGTGGAGAAGAAAGATTGTTGTCTAAACACTTGCGTGAGCAACCTCTTCCGCCCCCTGCGGTGGATGAGGCAGGTCTTGTTGAAGAGATCGCTGACACGATTAGGGAAGAGCTGACCATGTCGCAGACCATTGTGCTTGCAACAGATGGGTCTGCCAAGGATGGCATCGCGGCTCATTCGGTCGTTGTCAACCACTGCGATCGTGCTTTCTTTGGCGGCAATGACAGCGAAGATCAGTCATCCTTTCGGGCTGAAATGTGTGCTTTGAA